AAGACGACTGAGACCTGAACTAATGGGTCCCTTAGAGCAATGCCAATTTGGGGAAGGGAGGGGGGGAGGGCTCAAAATCATCGAACAGTTTTAGTAATCTTGAAAATCCACGAATACCATAACTATATTTGTATGGTGCTGTGCACGTTAAAAAAAGGGCGTCTCCGTTATCACTACAATCCCTATCTCAATTGGAAACCAAAAAAAAAATGCAGAGCGGTGTTTTTCATTTTTCTTTGTGAACATTCAGGGTGGTCACTGGTAGGTGGCACTTACTACACATGCATGGTCCTCGGTTTGAATCCTGGATCGATACTCGCCCAGACCAATCAAGCCAAATTACCCATCAGCCACCCAGGAGTTGATTGATTGGTGCTAGACCCGTATCAAAGGGAGAAAGTATTGACTTGTACTCGCGCTGCTGTTAGTCCCAATCAGTGCGTTGTATAAGTTACACCCTCATTCAACCCACCACTACGATTCTAGGTGGTAGTCGTTTGGGGCGCATGCCAAGTACGGGATTTGTAAACGCCAGTAGCGTCATGCCTTTTAAGTATTCTACAAGTATAGCCAATTCATGTTGCGGAAAGCGAGGCCTTAACAGCAGGCTCTTTGAAACTGATATCCATTTATAATTCAGAATCTACATGGCTCATCCCTCCTTAATCTTCTTCCAGTGGAAGCTATTTGTTGGTGATTCAAATAGCCAAAAAATCTAACAAGTCAATCTGGGGCTTGTTTTCAACCCAATACTGCGTCTCAGCAACTCCAGCGTGTTAAAGCATACATTTATACACCGCTATGCTGCTTCAGAGAAAAGAAGGATACTGTTTAGTTCGATAGTACTAATCTGTATGCGATACTACTCACCTTTCGGAACAAGTGGAGACGTTTGTATTTATTGTGTTTTGGACTCCAACTGATTAAAGAATGAACATAGTCGAGGACAAATCGCGCAGCTTCTGTATTCCTCAACCGTTGATTCAATCAGTCGGCTTTGGAAGTAAATATCAAACATTTCGACAGCTTTCACATAAAAGTGGATTATAGACAAGGAAGTCGTCTAATAACCGTAATTTCGGTAGAGGTGGTGTATTAGCAACTGGCGCACTATCTCACACGCCTGGTCACGGGTTCAGATCCCGGATCGATATCCGCCTAAACGGACTCAGCCTTCCATCCCTCCAGGGTCGGTTAATTGGTACTAGACTCGTTTGGGAGAATAAAAGCGCTGTCTTGTACATCGGCTGGCCAACGCAAGTCATTTTGCAGCCACATATTAATTCAATACGCCGCTACGATTCTGAATGGAGTCGAATACGGGGGCGCATCCCTCAGACGGGATCGATTAACGTCCCAGGACTTCACTTTTTTAATCGTCAAGTACCGACTATTCACAAAACTGTTCTTCAACCTCCGATAGTTCAATGGTGTTCTCGCTATGACGAACTCTCTAATCGCTTTGTCGATGAACCCCGTTTGCGTGACTAGCTTTTTTTTTCTTAAGATGAGAACACAAGATTGCTCTGATCACGGAATAATGATTGATAACGATCGATTCGCTTTTAAACTTTGGTTTTTGGGGGTATTCGAATCTCCTGATGAGTCTTATCTTAGCTATATCAGTTAAAAAACAGCAATCGCAGTCTATTATTATCACTGGTGAAAATTGGCTGTAGTACTTGGCACGAAAAGTAGTGATATCGTCGCAGGTAGACTTTTTTCCAGTCCCATCACTGCAAGATTCGAATGCCTCCCTATCCTTTGATATTCGAAACTGGTTACTATCCTTGATTGAATTGTTTCTTAATCAGCGCGTAATGGACGTTAGCAGCGTGTGATCCCAGATCAGTGACAGTTTGCGGACATGGGAACTCTGAACGTGAGGCACCATAGCTTGTGGTCAGGAGCAGGTAGTCTGACGTACCTGGCTGTGCCACATGAAGTATAACGCCGTCTTTCATCACGGTTTCCTGGACGTAAGACAGTTTGTGAAAAAAAACAGCAAAGTCAACAAAAAGGACTACATTCTACACAACTGTCTGCAAGGTGCAAACCTGAAAAATTATTGCTCTCGTGTGTACCCTGTGGTGCTTCACGTGAAAGTGCACCATCGGAATAGTGCACATATCTCTTGAGTGAGTAAGAGTTACAGGGCTCAACAGTTGATGTTCCAATAAGAAGAACTTCAACGTCGGAGTGCCTCCAGTCTGAGTTCGACATACACAGTAGCTGACGGCACTAGCTCGATTCATGGGGACAGTGCTGGCAGAGCTACCTTCTTTATTTTTCTGAACCTCTTCAACCTCAGGAGAGAATGGGGACAAAAAGTTTCATCTCTACCGTTTCCACGGGTCTCATGGATGGAACCATCGGACAAGCTTCATGGTTATTCGCAGAAGCTGATGTGAGTACGGTATCTACCTATTCTGGGTTTTGAGCAAAGTAACAATTGGGCCTTCATCCCAAGTCGGAACTTTGCAGTCAATTCATTGGCCTTGCAACCGATTTCATGAGCCTCCCAATCATTTTTGCAGACCGTTGCGTGCGATCTAGTATAGTATAAACCAAGTGAACGGCTGCCCACCCTGTCATCAAAGTTTACAGCAAGGATAGTTATGTTCTGGCTAGTACTCTGGTAAAAATAGACATCATAAGCTTACGGAGTAACGGAAGCAAATCATCTCAAGCTAGGCAGGACTGTAATATCACTCTTCGAAAACTCGAGGAGAACTGTTTGGCGTCGATCTACCTAAGTCTATAATCTCCTCGTCTACAGGATCGCGATGTCATTCTCCTACATTGTCAAGCGCACCAGCAGGGGTTCAGAACTACGAGAC